CTAACTGGATGTGCTCTCTTCATCCGCTGACATGGGAGCTGGCTCGGAGCTCGTCTGCCTGGCTTAGAAGGGAGTTTTTCCTCTCCACTGTCGCTACAAGCATGCTTAGTGTGAGGGATTGCTGAAGAGTCAATGAGTCGATGCAATCAGCTGGTTTTCCTTAGAAAACTTTGAATCAATCTGACTGGATGATCTGGTTGAACTGGAAAGTGACCTGAGATGATGTGTTGGTAACTGCTGCTATAGAAATAAACTGAATTAGCCACGTCTTGCTTCTCATTCTTTCCTAGTCATCACCAGTCATACTGGCCACTTATCAAACTGCTTTCTGCAGAGTCGTGATATTCAGTCGCTTTAGTCTCCATCTGGAAAGCAAACTATTCCCTGCCTCTCTGTGGCATATCTGAAAATTAAAGACAGAAAAGACCAGAAGGAATTCCCCGCTAAGCCGTTTCCAGATTAAGGTATACTTTGTCACCTCTGTGTGGTTTCAGCAAGTCAACAGCTGGATTTCCAAACCGCAGAAGGGATTAGAACCAATAACAGTGATTCAGCGTATTGTCATATAACAATTGGATGAGTCATGACTGAAGGACAGCAAAAATGAGCGTGGGATAACGATCAGCACCAAAGCAGTTATTAAGATGTTTGTCATTTTGAGCCCATCCTCCGTCCCGCTGCTGCCCACTGGAGGAGAAACAAAGAGTCTGGGTGAGCCGCTGGCATCTGGGGTGCCCCCCCCCCCTCAGAAATCTGGGGAACAAAGACTCAACTGTCCAGCTGTGGATAATGACGGCTGTGTTTGCAGGGCTGAACCTCAGAGCTGCCTCAGTGAACCGGCGCTGGTTTCAGCCCCTCCCTCCCTGCTGCAGCTCCGTCAGTCACAGCAGAGTTGCTTCTCAGTTTTTAAAAAAAGACAAACATCTTCAGTCTTAATTTTGCAAGCAGGAAGCTCGAACCAAGGAAAAAAAAAAACACTTCTAGCTCAGAGCAAGGGTGTTACTTTGTTATTAAAGCAGGGCTGGGTGCTGCAGCGGCTTCCGTTTTGATATTTCGCCAGAAATGAGTGCAACCAAATGCCAATGCCATTTGTTGCAAAATACACCCAATATTAAAACGACAGACAGATACCTTTTATAAAGTGCTCCAAATCATCAGGAATTTATTTTTAATAAAAGAATAAATAGCTCTATATTGAAACAATAACAGCTTATACTGATTTCAAGTGTGATATATTAAGCATCCCTACATGTATGCAATTGCAAATAGGAAAATGATCCTTCCATCCATCCATGTATGAAGAAAAATATGAAAAGAAGATTCAAGATCTATAGAAGTGCTGCAGTCTGGTAAATTTGTACAGCTCACACTGTACAGCTCCGCAGTGAGATGGCGCTACTCGGACTCGTCTATCTGGAAGCCAAACCAGTAGCAGAGGAACATGAAGCTCACTAGAGTGAAACGCGCTGCCTTGGATATTTGGGCAATTTTGTGCTGAAAGCCCTAAAAAGAAAAGGAGACGACGTATTTGGACAAAGACATGGCTGAGCTAACATGGCTACTACGGTCTGTCAGTTTGACAGAAAGAACTCCATTCCAGTCATTGCCCCCCCGCCATGATGCTGGGTTTACATCTGAGAGGAAGAAGAAGAATCCTTGTTTGCCCACGACCACCTTACGATGGCCGACTGAATTTCAAACCTGTTTGATTTCTCCCGACCTTACGATTCCTGATGGCGAGGTGCTCGTTAGAGGCTGATCGCACCTCGTTACTCCCTGTACACCACGCACCATCAGGCCGAAAGTCGGCCCGATTGGAAAAGTCTCGCACGACTGGAAAAATTGGCCTAAAAAGCGCAAAAAAAACCCCAAAAAAACAAAAACGTTGTACAGTGTAAGCCCGGCTTTAGAGCGGGAGTTATAAGAAAATAAACATTTTGCATTTGAGAAGAGGGAAAAAAAAAAAGACTTTTCGTCTATCAATCTGCTCTATCCAGAACTCCTGGATAGAGCAGTGGTGGTCTAGTGGTTTGAGCATAGAGCTTGGAATCCAGAGATTCTGAGTTCCAGCGCCACAGACTGCTACTCTGGGTCCCTTAACCCCACGCTGCTCTCCGGGCGCCGCACAATGATTTAGTTGCTCTGTAATTCTGACAGTGTAATGACAATAAAAGCTGGGAAAAAAATACATAAGAACTGTGGAAAGGTTTTATTTTTACTTGGTTTAATTTTGTAAAAGAAATCTTCTTTTAGTAACCTTTTGCTATCCGATTATAAAGCAATTAGCAAAGAAATTGTTAGTTTAACCCTAATATTCATGCTTTTTGTTTATGATTTATAGAAAGGTAAAAATCATGAAGAAAACACTGCAAAAATGATCTAGAAATAAGTAAACATTTCTTAAATTAAGTGTATTTACCCTTGATTTAAATAGGTACATTTGATAATATGCCAATGGAATGATTATTTTTACCCTTAAAAAAAGATGATTAGATTAAATGCACTTGAAATAAGAAGATGCAATTGTGTTTTCTTATTTTAAATCTAAATTGTCTTGTTCCATTGGTAAAATGTCTCTTTAATCTCCTCAATTTAAGAAGAAATGCACTTATTTTAAGAAAAAATGACTTATGTAGATTTTGATTTTTTACAGTGAAGTGCTTAAGTTTAAAACAAATCTTTAATTAATATCCTAATTGACCGAGAATCATATATTAGTGTATTTATTTTTTTATTTGCTCAGTTTTTTTGCTCTATTAAGCCCTTTTCACACCTTGATGATTAAAACTTTCTTTTTTATTCTTTTTCTTGGCGGACGGTAAACAGCAGCTAGGTTAATAAATCTTTTTATGCAGACCGGGTGCATCGCTGCCCCCTTCAGGACACTGGCTTGTGCATCTTTTCATGGGCATTACGCTGCCGTGCATTATGTAGAAGTTAGGCTGTGATTGGACAGAACTTCTGGATTCATAATTAATTCTCTATGTCAGGGGTAACCAATTAAAGATCAGCAGGCTCCAAATAAAGCCTGGAGCCGGACACTTCCCAGGGCTTTACCGTATTAACAGGAGAAGAGGAGCAAGTGAATTTAGACACTGTTGTCGGACAACATGCGGTAATTTATAAATGTTTTAAATGAGGTTGGGTCCGGATCTGGACCGCAATCCGCTACTCGGTGACCTCTGATCTATGTATACGGCCAAAACAAAAAAAATACATAGAAAGTTCAGCGTATGCCAGTGTTATAGGAGATTCTAGGACGTCAGGGTAAATCTGCAAGGTGTTACAGGGGCTTAGGGGAGGCTTCTCTTGAACATACCAGTGAGGAAGACTGTGAATGCTTCTTCTTTTTCAAACAGGTCTCTAGTCCTGGGGTCAAACCGCAGCCATAGTCCCATAGCCAGCACTCCGGTACCTGCAAGCTACAAGAGGATAAGATACGGTTAGCATCACAGCAACTTACAGTAGCTCACATGGCCATGTTTAGACTGATTGTAGAAATTAGCTGATCTCCAGCTCATGATGCAGAGCCTGAACTAGAGCTGATCAGGCCAGAAGATGAGGAAATGCATCGTTGCCAAAGTAAAAGTTTGAACCTGGAGAGAGGAACTCTGTGCATACCTCAGATTATCTGATCACAGGATAACGGGCTTAAAAACCGGTTTAAAAAAAACATGGAAGCCTGGAAGGCATGAAGGCGAGGAATTAAAAATGTATGGATGTAAAGATCAGAACAAAAAACAAAAAAACTGCTTAAAGAGGAAAAACAAAACAGCATTTAAGCAATTAAACCTTAAGTGAGTTAAAAGTCCAATTCTAGGTTTTTATGCTCATGGTGGGGAAAGAACAAGGCAAAAGGAAAATCAGGAATCAACTACCAACATGTTTTGCTTTTAACATTCTAGAACAAACAAACAAAAAAAACATACGAAACAGGAATTAAGATTCCCGGCTGCCGTTACCTACATTCTTTAAGTTGTATCCATGGTGATTTGCAAACAATTGAATAAATAAAATCAAGTTTGAAAATATTTACTTAAATTAGTTTTTGTTGTTTTTTCCAGAGGAGTATTTCTCCCAGTCAGTTTTCATTGATGCGTCTTTCCAGTAACAAGCCCTTTGTCAACCTCGGTTAGACACACAGACAGACATCTTTCTTCCTTCCACACAAACAAACCAAATGAGTCACGATCTCCTTAGCAACCGCAACACAGTTTACATCATCTTGGTTGCCGCCCCAAACAGCCTCTGCAACATCCCAAAGCGTGTCTGACATTAAGCAAAGCAGGTCGGCCTGACCTGAGGAATCGCCGCTGATTTACAGATTAATGAGGAGGGAGAGTGAAAGTACAAAATGATGGTCGTTATCTTTTATTTGATCAAGTTGAATAACTCCTGTTTTATCAGTTACCTCCAGGATGCACGCATGCAGCAGGTGGAAATTCAGAAACCCCTTACATTTCTAACATTTTTTTGTCTAATTTAGATGAAATAAAGTCATGTTCTAATTGTAGTAAACCAAGAACCTTTTTACACAAAAAACTTACATTTTTGTTCAGCTTCTGTGACTCATTGCTTCAAATGCTAATTGGTATTTTAAAATCAGCAATCACTTTTCTAACATTCATATCAGACTCATGTCTGAATTGAATAAAAATCTGTTTTAACGCAGGAGGATGATGCTAAATTGGCCATTTTCAAATTAATTAAAGTGCATTTTTTCTAACAAACATCCAATTTAGCATATATGTGGTTATTTAAAAAAAATGAAACACTTCGGTATGGCTTTGTCCAAATTTAGAAAACATGGGTTATATTAAAAATCTGGCAGATGTACAAAAGGCAAACGTAGCTAACGAACT